AAATAGGAAACTTTACATAAACCAAAGAGTTTTCCCAAAATAAAACCATCAGCCTGCTTTTAGGGCCCTTGCAGCATAATACAATAGGAGATGGATGACTGCAGTGACTTTCTTGTTGAGGCTGTGTGTCGGTGTCCCCAGGATTTCTTAGCACCTGGAAGCAAGCACACCAGGAGAAAGAAGACACTTTCTCAGACAAGACACACTGCCTGGGTAGGCAGGTCAGCAGGACTGGGTGTGCACAGGGCAGATTCCAGAATCCAGACAAACTTCAGGCCTTACAAGCCTCAACAGCAAACCAGAACATTTTTAGCCTTCCAGACCTGAGGGAAGCCTACAAGAAGGATGGAGAGAGACTCTTGACATGGACCTGGAGTAACATTACAAGGAGGAATGGCTTCACACTGACAAAAATGCAGGGTAATTAGAAGAAATTGTGGGGTATTAGAAAAAGTTGTTCCCTGTGAGGGTGGTGAGGCCCTGGCACAGGATGCCCAGAGAAGCTGTGGCTGCCCCATCCCTGCAAGTGTCCAAGGCCAGGTTGGATGGGGCTCTGAGCAAGCTGGGATAGTGGAAAATGTCCACATTTCAATAGGGGCTTGAAATGAAATTAAGAGCCCTTCCAATCAGGCCATTCTGTGATTCTATGATTTTTTTTTTTTTTTAAATTGTGGGTATCAGCAGCTCTCACCACAAATTACACCCATCCTCTCTCCCACAACACCTAAGAAAACTCAGACCCCCTTAAAATGACAGGAACACTCTCTGTTCAGAAAACAAAACCTTTTAGGGACTGGTTCTGCTTTGCCTGGGAGCTGTGCCAAGGTTTTCAGCTGGAGGAGGAATGAGGCCCTTCATTTCAGTTCATTAGAGCAGGCACACTGCAGAAACTGCTGGTATATGCTGCGGTCCCAAACCCAGTGGGCTGTGCTTACCTCATCTTTTTCACGTAGGTGAGCTGAGCCAGGATGTTTTCTTTAGTCGTGGGCAGTGTGACAAGAATGGGGCCTCCAAATAAGGTCACTCAGGATGTGTTTAACAACACTGGGTGAAGTCTGTGGCAAAGGCATCTGCACACACACACACACACACACACACACACAGAGCATCCACTGTACATTCCCTCAGCTCAGTGCGTCAGTATTCCTAGAATAACTGCTGGAGAGGCACTCCACCCTTGTGCTTCCAACACTGGGGTGTGATCATCCCAGAGCCACTTGTAACAGTGATTTTAAGGAAGGGGAAGCAGAGGGACAGGCCCCTGATTTCTGTGATCTCTTTTGAGGAAATTATTAAGAGCAGAGGTAGTTTTGAATCTGTCAGCCCTGACTCCCGAGTGAGCTGAGAAGCAGAGAGCAAGAGGCTTCCTGAGGCCAGCACAGGCACTCAGATGGCACAGAATGCTGCAAAAGGGCACGCCACCCACCTGTTTAAATATGAGTCAATATGCTTTATTAGGCAAGAGTGCTACAGGTGATCCTACGTGATGAAAGGAACTCCAGCACTGAGAGGGGACGTGTAGTTTTACTCATAGGAGAATCCTGTAAGGCAAGTCCATTTGATTGAATAGAAAACTTTTTTTTTTCAACTCGCAAATTTCTGATGGTCCACAAAGGCCTTCCAAAATAAAACTGCAAGTCACTTGTAGTAACTTAAATCTGTTGTAAAAAAAAGCTTGCCTTTGCCTTACGAGTCCTCTCCAGAGCTGAGGGGATAAGCAGTAAAAGAAAGCAGCACAAGGGATGATATTTAGCTTCTGAGCGTTTTACACAGTTGAGGTGGCAAGTCTGGATTGCAAAAGGACCTAAAGCTGAAACTCAAAGCAGCCAAAATGGGGGAAAGTCAGACCCTGATCTGCTCCTGTGACCCTCAGCACCTTCTTTGTACACTCTTGCAGTTAAATGATGATACCTGGGAGGCCTGAATGTCATCCATGTTCCAGCTGAGGCACCTGGCCCAGGTGAGTGCCCAGAATACCTGTCTACACCTGAGCTGTCTAAACCTTGCCTCTGGAGCAAGGAGCAGGAGGCAGATGGAGCAGGCCTGGTACAAAGGCACGGCAGGGAGGGAGGGGAGACTCACTAAGGGCTGGAGCATCAATCATAGAATCACAGAATGATTTGAGTTGAAAGGGACCACAAAAATCATCTTGTTTCAACCCCCTGCTATGGGCAGAGAAACTTTCCCCCTAGACCAGGTTGCTCAATGATTATCTCAAATAAATTTCATCCTGTAAGCTGGGGTCTGTCTTATCCATCTTTTCCTTTCATCTTTTGCTCTGGAGTGAGGATTTCCTCACTTTACCTTGGTTCCTGACATTCACACTAGGTGGTAGTTTCTCCAGGCTGTCTCCCAGCAGCCTTTCCAGGAAACGTCTAAGGAGCACCCTGCACCGCTGTGGCACCTGACACTGGCTGTGTAGCACCCCTGCAGTACGAAGTGGAAAATGTGGCAATGTGAAATGGTTGTCATCTTTCAATTCAGTCCCATTTTTTTTCATTTTATTTCTCTCTACAACAAACAATTTCTATTAATTATCAGCAATTTCTTAGCTGAGAACTGAGAAAAGCCATGTCAAATCATCAAACACCACAGAGCAATATAGAAATCTGTAAAATCTATACCAACTCCTGCAGAAAAAAAATTGCAGAAATATTGTTATTACTGATGCATCAGCATACCATGCAAGACAAGAAAGGTTGTCATCACTTCTATTATAACAGACTTGGCTGAGGGTAAAGCAGCTTTCATACACCTGGCTACCCCATCAACATCTGAATGGGTAGAGGATAAGTGAAATGCTCACAGAAGGAATAAATGGATCAGCCTGAAATAAAAAAGACATGAACTGTAAAAAAAAAAAAAAAAAAAAAACCACAACAAACCACATGTAGTGGGCATTTATAGGTTTAAAGAAAAAAAAAGTCTATGAAAAAGCAGAGTTCGTATTATCATTCTCACAAGCAGGGGCTTAATAAATCCTTAAATTCTGTTCAGCCCAGCAAATTAAACAGAACTTAGTAAAATCTGGAGTTTTCCTGATGTGGGAAACTTCAGAAGATGCCAAACAATTTAAGCTTGTAGAAGTAATCTTTGCTTGTCTGACTAACATAGAAAAAGAAAGAGATTCTCGCAACTGGCATATGCTTAAATGAGGTTGAATAAATTTTTCAAACATCTGAGAACATTTTCTGTGCCACTGAGGCACTGGAGAAAGATCAGATCAGTGCATGCTGCCAAGCACAGCAAAATGTTATGGTGAATATGAAACATCAAACCAGAAAAACTGCAGTCACAAAAGAATGACAGAATATTCCAAGAGGTAGAGTGCCTCTGTGAGATACTTCTGCAACCGAGGTATCAATATCCACATTTCCATGGGAGTCTTATCAAGGGGGGAAAGAACAAAACAGAGCAACCAACCAACCAACCAACCAAAAAATCCAAACATTTGTTCTAAGACCAGAGTGAAAAATATTGGTGGATAATTTCAACAGTAAATAGGGATTTTCTTTAAAATAAAATAAAATTTTAAAAAGTGAAGAAAAATTAACTCTCCTTTCCTTCTAATTTAATTTAAAGCATTTCAGATGTTATAACCAGTAAAACATCTGAGGCCTGGATTGTCTTTCAGTGCAGCCAGCTATGTTAGCCTGCTTAGTTTACGATCTGACGCTTATACACTTTGGCTAAAAAGTGCAGTCATTTACACAGGTGAATATACTCTGACGCAAGTCTCTGGATTTACACAGGTGTGGCAGTAGAATTTGGCAGGGTTTTACTAATTTTAAACAATAAAAAAAACAAAATCAGATCCACTTTTGCAGTGGGTTACAGCTGTATCAATCTATTAATGTTATCAATCCATTATATGCTGATGGTATAGCTCCACAGCTTGTTAATGAAACTAAGAATTTTTCATGCTGTGTCCAGCTAGAGACTGAAACTGAAGCTAACACTGCTACAGTTAAAATCTTCAGGTGCCATTAAAGAAATATTCATTTATTGCTTGGTACTTTTGTCAAGTTTATATTAAATTGTGAGAGAAACCTTAGCAAAGACTAGTTTTGGAACCTGTCGCTCCTGTCATTGATTCACCCATATACAGTGTCCCATCAGTTCAGAATTTTCATGTAATAAATGGAACCATCTTTATTTTAAATCAGAAAATTTGTCTGTAAAGACCCACAACACTGGCAGAACACCTGAGAAGCAGGTCTTGTATCTTGGAACATATTTTACAAACTCCCAGCCAGATGTGCAAGGCAAGAGCAAAACATCCAGTTTTTAAGTGTTTTACATATTATTTTCAGCTGGTTTTGGCCAACTTTAGATTATTTACGTGGCTCAGAAGGAAACAGGAGAAATCAAAGGGACAGTTTATTTGAAGCAGGTTCTGCTCATATCAAGTTCCCTTCACTTTAGTGACACAAATATCAGCCCAACAGGCTTGGTGTGGAACTTAGACAATAATGAAGGGAGAATAAGGCTCAGGACAACTTAATATTAACTTTTGGTACATTTGCAACAAAATTTTAGCTGTATGTGATGTTTCCACTAAATCAGAATGCAGCTTGGAAACGGTGAGGGGAGGTGGGAGTCTGAATAAACACATCTGGCAAAAAAGAAAGATAATTCAGGTCCGAAGGGTCATTCCCTTCAGTTCAAGTGCAGTGGATTGCCCTTTCTGGATCCAACAGTAGGGGCGTGGGAAGCTTTCAGATGTCATAGGGTTGTAGATAACATTTGAACATATGATTAGCTTTCGTGAGCTGTCTTTAGAAACCTTACATTTTTCCCCCACACACCTTAGCCAGAGATCCTTCCCTTGAGGTTTTGGGACACTTAAAATGTTGCTTTGCCAAAAATCAAGGATGTGGAGAAGGTTTTCCTGTGTGATGTCATGTTGCTGCCCTTTATAAGCCTCTGCAGAGAAGAAGGGATCCTGAGGATTCACACTCCAGGCACAAGGGGAGGTGAGGAGCAGACGCTGACGCACCATGGAGCGGCGAACCATTCCCCAGGGCATTCCCTGCAGCTCCCTGCTCCTGCTGCTCTGCAGCCTGAAAGCTTCCCTCGCCTTTCCCAACTCCTCTCCACTGCTGAGTTCCAGCTGGGGCAATGGAGACCACCTGATGCACCTCTACACCGACACAGAGAGGAGCAGCTTCCACCTCCAAATCAATGCTGATGGCTACATTGATGGTGCTCCTCACCAAACCATCTACAGTAAGTGGCTTCCTACAGACCTCCATGGGAGCAGGGGAGGGACAATGACATTTTTTGTTTCCTCACCACCTATAGACAATCCCCTCTTCTCATTAGGCAGGCAGGCAGAGGAGTACAGCCATGGGATGGAAAATACACATCATTATAATTCTTCTTTTGTTTAACAAATAAAATTGGTCCAAAGAAATCTAATGGATAGGGAATTTCATTCCTTGCCTAGGACAACTAAAGTGCTATGGTTCCTGTAATGCCCTGAAATGAAAAACCACCTGAATTATCCTTCACTTGATGATTTTGCCCCCAGTTTCTAGTGGAAGTTCCTATTAGAAGTTATGATCTTCTAATGATATGCCCCAAATAGCTGCTTCCCACTGATGGTGCTACCAAAGGAACTGCACTGAGGGAACTCGCCAGAGCAGTGCTGGAAAACTGATGACATCTATAAAATCTGTATTTTGGGGTGGAGGGCTGAAAACTACTAAAACTTAAGTTTCAGTGTGCACAGAACATAGGCATGCAAAGGTCAGTTGAAAAGGGTAAATCTATGAAGGACCAGACTGGCATAAAAGAAGTGTTGAGCCTTTGGGGCTCATGAGAAGAAACTATGCCCTAGTATCACTAAAAGGTTCTCAAACTGTGTCTTCATGGTTTATTTTATTATATATTTCATTATTCCTTCCTTTTTAACAGAGAATAATTTATTCTTCCTTTGCTTGGTCCAAACTCTTTAGTTACAAGACAAATTTGGGGGGCGGTGTGTGTGTTAAGACTTAGGGTTTTTTATAGCATTTCAAAAATACTTCTCTCTTAGCAGCATTCAAATCACAAGTAGCTTTGTATCATAAAATCAGGTTATTGTTATTATTGTTATTATTATTAGTAGTAGTAGTAGTAGTAGTAGTAGTAGATCTATTTTTTACACTCAATTAAAAATCTAAGCCTAGATAAAGAAGCTCTTACATAAGTAAATAAAGATGTTTTTTAAAGTTATAATTTAATTAATGAGGAAAAAGGATCACATTCTACAATTTTTTTAAGGAATTGATAATGAAACACAGAAATGCTGGCACTGTCTTGCTATTTTTCCTACATATTTAAAGATTTTATAAAATTAATTTTAGATATGTTGGCCAAGAACCAGTGTGGGGTTTTATAGAACAACAAACAGCAAAATACCACATTTTCCCATATCTGCCATGAAACAAGCATAGCAGGATTTGGAATGGTGGAGCAGAAAAGATGGACTCAGACAACAAAAGGGATATTGAGAGGGAGGGTGACTGATTTTCTGCCACTGAGCCACCAGACAATGGGAAGTACCAAGTTCTGCACCAGGGTGGCATGACCTGGGTGTGCACAGATCTCATGGGTGGGACAATGCAACAGGCACTGAGTCAAATGCAAGGAGCAGGTAAAGGAAAGTTGTTATTCCCACTTTACCTGGCACCTGTGACATCACTCTTGGAGCACTACAGCAACCCCAATTCAAGTTGGATGAGTTGAAGGTGGAGCTGGTCTGGCACAGGGTTTTCAGGGGGCCTTGATCATGATTTGTTGTGGTTTTAGTCAGCAAAAAGGATGTTAAGGGCAATGTAATCACAGAATCACAGTCTGGCTGAGGTTGGAAGGCACCACAGGGGGTCACCTGGTCCCACCTCCCTGCTCCAGCAAGGCCATCCCACAGCACAGGATTGTGTCCAGATAGTTCTGGAATATTCCCACTGAGGAGACTCCACACCCTCTCTGGACAATCTGTTCAGGGCTCAGTCACTGCCCAGGACAGAAGTTCTGCCTCATGTCCAGGCGGAACTTCCTGGGATCAGTCCCTGCCCGTTCCTCTGGTGCCACTGCTGGGCACCACTGAAAAATACCACAGAGCAGTCACAAAGGTGAGGGGGACAAACTCCCCCTGGATGTGAGCAATGGCAGAGCTGAGGGCAATCTGGAACTTCAGAGGGAAAAAAAGTTGTCTTTGGGAAGTTACTGCCACATTGGAACGTGGCACCCAGAGAGGTGCCCTCCATCCTTGGAGTTTTCCAAAGCCACAGGAAACCATTTAGGGTGGATTTAGAGTGGGCAACAGTTCCAGGTCATGTGGGAGGTTGGTTTGGACTCCCAGAGGTCATGTCCAGCCAGAGCATCCACAGATCTGTAAATGCAGTGTTGAAATGGATCTCAGATTTGATGTTTTGTTGTTCTGAACAGGTGCCTTAATGATCAAGTCTGAGGGTGCTGGCTCAGTAATAATCACAGGTGTGAAGAGTGGACGCTACCTGTGTATGGACATGAAAGGAAACATATTTGGCTCGGTGAGTGACCTATCCTAAGCCTTGAGGCTGAATGGACAGTGCATTCTGCTGCTGTGGTGCACAGAACATAGGCATGCAAAAGTCAGTTGAAAAGGGGACTTTTCACTGGCCCACTTCCCCAGCCAGGGCAAGCCTGGTTAGCTGCAGGTGGGGGGGGAAGTAGTAGGGAAACTCTGACACTTAGGTCAAACTTTGCTCTCTCCTTTGATTGTATTAAGTTGTACAGCTGACAAAAATCATCTGAGGTCCTGCCTGGGTAAGTGAGGATGAAATGAGATCCAGTGAGGGACCAATCTGTAGCACAGAGCCATGGGTGGGGACCCTCTGGGAGAAAACAGGGTTTATCATTAAAATTCCTTTGCTGAAAGCATGGACTTGCAACTCTGATCTACATTTGGGTCAGACACAGACCTAAGAGATTAGAAAAACACCTGCTGCACAATCTCATCCCTCTTTCCCTCTTTAACCAGTGTTTGTAATTCACCAGACTCCTCTGCTCACAGGTGTCATATTTTTTCCCCTCAGCATTACTTCAGCCAAGAGGACTGTGTGTTCACCCACAGGACGCTGGAAAACGGGTACGATGTGTACCAATCCCCCAAACACCACTTTTTGGTGAGCTTAGGCAGAGTTAAACAAGCCTTCTCCCCTGGTATGAATCTACCACCATACTCCCAGTTTTTGTCCAGGAGGAACGAGATCCCTCTGTTCCGATTCAACACCCCCGAGCCCCACAGACATACCAGGAGTGCAGATGTTGATCCGGTAGATCCTCACCAGATCCTGGTTCCGCAGAGGAAGGCCCCGGTGTTTGGCTCCCTGCAGCAGCAGCCAGCAGACTTTCCCCACATGCCCAGGGAGCCCATGAGGATCAACCAGAATGACGTGGTGAACCCCGATGATCCCCATGCTATGATGGAGGCCCGGAGGTACCCCAGCCCCCGCTTCTACATCACAAGATAACCGTGGCCCCCGTGCTCACCAGGTGAAGACAGGCAAAAGGAACAGTCTGTCACACTCAGCCTGAATGCCAAAGTGGCTCTTAGAAACCTGGGAGACATTGGGAGAAGTTCCTTAGCTTCAGATCTTGTTTTGTCAGTAAACTGCCATCTGTAAGTACAAGTCGGATTTTTCCAGCTTGGGCTCTACCAGAAAGAAGATCCATTTTTGAAAAGAGTAACACAAATCAAACCTTTTGGGGTCTGAATCACCTTACATTTGCTTCAATGAGGAAAACAAAAAAAGAAATCCCTTGTATGAAATGGGAAACTGATGTTATGTTACTGATGTAGAGACCTGGAGCATCTGTTATTCCAGCAGAGACAGGGAATCCTCTTAACTAGCACCATCCTGTCCAAGCACAGCAGACAAACTGCCAGGTGGTGTGTTACTTTATTATATCAAAATTACCATGTCATATATCCAGTATCTGAAGGGGCTACAAGGAAGCTGGAGAGGGGCTCTTTATCAGAAATTGCAGAGACAGGACAAGGGGGAATGGCTTCACACTGACAAGAGTAGTTTTAGATGGGATATTAGGAAAAAATTGTTCCTTGTGAGGGTGGGGAGGCTCTGGCACAGGTTGCCCAGAGAAGCTGTGGTTGCCCCAACCCTGGCAGTGTCCAAGGCCAGGCTGGATGAGGCTCTGAGCAAGCTGGGATAGTGGAAGGTGTCCCTGCCCATGGCAGGGGGTTGGAGTGGATGAGCCTTAAGGTCCCTTCGAACCCATTCTGTGATTTTTTGTTTTTAGCTTTTAAGTTAGAGCTTCATTCTCTCCTCACCCATATGAGTTAAAAAAAGGTCACTCTGCTGTCATAGGAGCAGTAGACATGGAGTACTGGAGGAACTGACAGGACAACAGGACAGGATTAAAGGGAAAAAGAGCAATTTCTGACACTGAACCCAAGCTGAGGTTTTGAAAAAAAGAGGAGAGCCTCACTCTCTCTCAAGTGGCTCTTTATTACAGTTCTACATATACTAAATTCTAACATCCCAATATGGGAATAAAGATCATTAGTTTTGCATATTTCCAACACAGAGAGAAGTACTAGGATTAACAATAATAAATTCTGTGTTAAACAGGATGTTTTGTTTTGCATAATACTGAACTCTACAGGGGGAAAAAAGATGTTTGATAAAGATCGAAGGATTAATATTTAGACTATAATGAAGACTCTCATCTAATGAGTGAAAATTAGGTTTATATTTAGAAAAGGAATGTTCAATTAGCATCCATGTTTGTATTCTGTTCTGAGCAGATATCAGATGCTTTATACTTGTAGGAGTGAAATTAGTATTTATTAGGAGATCTCTAATGGTGACAAAACCTTTTCCCTAGATTGTTTTATGCTTTGGGTAAGTTCACTTTGAAAAAGCTATTCTTGATGAACTCTTCAGAAATCAGGTGCAAGGCACTGATGAGCAGCACAAAATCCAGTGCGGCAGAGATTTGAGGTTTTTATTTTGTGGGGTTTTTTCTCATGCTGAAACACAGATTCTTCTGTTCTGTTTATTTAGAGTAGTTATCAGCTTGACAACAATTTGAAGTGGTACACTGCTCCTCAGAGTGCTCATGGCAGCAAAGAATTGGATGCTGTTCTTTTTTTCTTTCTTATGAAGTAGTTCACTGAAGCCACTGGAGTTACATCAGTGCAACAAAATCAAAAGAACCCCCTGGGCTTCTTGCTTTCATTTAATTTTTTCTGGATTTAGCACAACAGCAGGACTGCTGACAGCTTTTAAAACAATCTATTTCCATCCCCCCCATATTTGTATATATACACAATATCTCTTTATCTACCACATCCAACTCATTATGCTGGAAAAGTCATAGGTCCTGATTCTGCTCTTAGAATGGTTTCCCTAGATGGAGAGATTCCTAATTAGTATAATTACTTAGGAACACAGGACAAGCCAAATGATCAGGATCAGTCCAGAATTTGTTTTTCTAAAGTTATTGTGGTTTTTGATTAATTTCTGAAGAAAAAGAGTGATTCAAAGAAACAAAGAGAATTGCAGGCAGGCAGACAGTCATGCAGTCGTGCTTTTTCTTGCTTATTCAAAATACAGCAAGACTTTTTAACTTGCTGACTATACAGTGGAGAGGTGTGATTTTATTTATGTTCTAGTTTGATATCTTTACTTGATTCCTATACTGTTATTCTTGGCTTTTGCTCCCTGAGAGCTCTGGACTTCAAGTACACCAGCAAAGTTTGCATTTTGCATTAATTGTTGGAAGCTCCACAGAGCTCTTCTCTAGGACTCTGAGGCAACTGCACCACAACAACTGGAACCACTAAAAAGCTCTGTCCACATTAAATTTTGATGGGAAATATTGGTGGGATTAAATCTATAGACCATCTCTATATTCCTGCACTAGAACAGAGTAAGAAGGGTTGCTCACTCTATCAGTAGCCAGGGGATAAGTAAGCTAAGACTGAATAGATGGTGGATTTTCCATCAAAATGAGTAATTTTAACTATAGGCAACCGTATCAAAACTTAAAATAATTTATTCTTCAATGGAGATGCTGGAAATCACCAGCTAGCAAGAAAGCATTACTTATTTATGTCACGGTATTTATTTATTTATTTGAGTGGGTCTTAAATCCCACAGAATATTTATATGTATTTATAATAATGTGTTATAGAGACTATAATTCCTTTTACAAAAGTATCAATAAACTTTTCTATTCTCTCCAATTTCCTTTTATAAAAGTACCAATAAACTTTTCCATTCTCTCCAAATGGTGGATTCTGCATTATCTGAATGCTTCCCCTTCCAGAAGTACTTGAGTGAACACATAAATGGTAGCAGCAGTGTCTGAAAATGTTTGTGTGCTGCTGTCCCCTGTGAATTCCAGCCTCACAGGTTGCAGCTTCCTAAGTGTTTCATGCACCCCAAATATAAAAGTTCTGCGAAAGATGATGAGAGAAAGAGTGTCTTTGAAGGTCTAGACTGACCATGAAGGGATTTTAACCTCTATTGGGAAACGTCTTTTACAAGCAATGGGAAACCACAGGTCTGTCAGTTCAGTTCTGCTGGGAATTATTTGTGATCCTGCCTCAAAGATCTTGGGATAAAATATACTTGGTAAATTAAAAGCCTCTGCAGGGAGGGCTCTGAGCAGGGCCCAGGCTCTGCTCTGGGGGACCCAGCAATGGCACCAGAGGAACGGGCAGGGACTGATCCCAGGAAGTTCCACCTGGACATGAGGCAGAACTTCTGTGCTGGGCAGTGACTGAGCCCTGAACAGATTGTCCAGAGAGGGTTGAGAGTCTCCCTTGCTGGGGATATTCCAGAGCTGTCTGGACACAATCCTGTGCCCTGTGCTTTGGGATGGCCCTGCTGGAGCAGGGAGGTGGCACCACATGAGCCACTGTCAGGGTCCAGCCATTCTCTGAAGACTCAAGCAGTTGTAAGACTGGAGGTTCATCATGTCCTCCTCTGCATGCCATTCTGCCCCACATAGTTATTGATGATGCCTTCCCACTAATATTTCCACATTCCTGTATTTTTATTTGAAGTCATTACCAAAAAAATTTCCCCTAAGGAACACAAATAGCAGCTTTACTCCAGCTCAGTACTTGACCTTGGACATTACCACTTCTATGCCCACTACTTCCTTGCATACCTTCTTCACCATGGTTTTTCTCCTAAGCAACATTTATGTTTCCCAGCTGAGCTGATGGTTTCCATTCTGGCATTAAGTATTCAATTAAGATTCACCTAGATAATATTTCATTTTTCCCTTGCCTATACATTAGTTAACTTCATCAAAAAACTACCTATTTAGTCTAGTGTGAACTACTTATGGTAAAAACTCATTTAATTAGATTCCAGGTTTCATTTACCTCTCTTGTCTGTAATTATTCTCTCCTTCAGACTTTGTTGCATTAACCATTATTTAAATTTCTCTGGAGAAGTAGAATGAAGCTGTGTGATTCTTGGGACTGTCCCATGCAGCACCAGGAGATGGACTCAATGATTCTTGTTGGTCCCTTCCAACTCAGGATATTCCACAATTCTGAAACTAATTTTATGATTCCTGCCCTTCTGAAACCAAACCCCCTTTTTTCACTTCAGCTTTTAAATTCAGTAAATTCACTTTTCAATGGCTAGCTCTTCCAAAATAGATTCAGGACTTACTACATTCAAGTCTGGTGCACCACCCTGCTCCCATTCAGCTGGATGACACAGCTGGGCATCAGAAGGAAAAAACATTACACTCAACAGAGTCTTGCCTGGCCCTCAGGTGCTTTCCTTTGGTGACCACTAACAGCCTGTTCAAGATTCCTGGGTTTTCCCATTCCAGTGGCTCTGCCATATCCATAGATACAAGAGAAGCAGCTCACAAATCACTGCGCAGTTAATTTGTGCCCATGCAGCTGCCATTTGCCTGGGATTACAAAGATCCAAAAACCTCAGGCTCACAGCCCTCAAAAGCAGGACACATCTGGGGGAAATCTGACATTTTTAAGTCCAGGCACATGGCCTGTGGATCTGAGGCAGCCAAAAGCTTGGATAGATAATGTATCTGATTTAAATTCTGTTCTAAATGAAAAAAAAAGGGGGAAAACCCTCCTCCTATTGCAAGGCAGAGCTATGTCCAGAAAAAAAAAGACCTGTAGGAGTAGAGAAAATATCTTTGCTTTAGAGGAAGGAAACTGTTGTACTAGCAGAGCTCTCTGCCCACTGGCTGCTTGAGGAGAGGCAGACCTGTGAGATGGAGCCAGTATCCATTGGCACTATGTTCTGTTACTATTCCTAACAGACCTTTCTGTTGCTGCAGCTCTTCTTTCCCATGATCCCAATAAACTGCACAGATTTACTGCACACGTGCACAAGAGTCACCTGGCCAAAAAAAGCTTTAGTCTCAGTGTCAATATAAAAACTTAAAAAGAGGAGTACTATTCCCAGACCTAAATAAAACAGCTTTTAGAATTAGCTTCAGAAGCTTCCAA